CTCTGGAGGCAATCAGACAAAGCAACAAGCCAGATCTCTCCTGCAGATGAGGCCAGATAACTACCTCTGCATTTCTATCAATCAGTGCAATCAAGATCTGAATCACAAAGGAGATGCTACTCTCATCAAATTCCCTCTGTTTCATCTGAAGGACACAGGGGTTAACAATCCATTAGTGGGAAAGGGATCAAGCAACCATGCAATTTATTAGGTAACTTAATGCCACTGATTCATGGTGGGTAGAAACAATCTAATAAATCTCATTCTAAGATGAATTTTACACACGCACACACTAAATATATAAATAGCCAACTCACCTACCCAAAAAATTCAAGAGGAAAAATTAAGACACTTCGCTGCTTTACTCAGCCCTGTCTCAACGTATTAAATGTCCAGGGTTTGCATAAAACTATCATGGGTGCTTCACATCTTCAAGGTCCTTTCCAGTCGTTGACTATCACAGCACCTCTGTCAGCTGGTAAAGAGATGTGCGTATAATCACACACATACATTTTCAAATGCCCTATTCTAATGCTCCAGATATCTCTGCCTGTATACACACATGCACATATAGATGCACATATATTTCCTATGGAGCTCTCTCTTCAGACAGCCTCTTTGACACCATTTGTGCTGCTCCTCTGATTAAAAGGGCAGAAGCCAGCCCTCTGCTTATGCCATCTTCCAGCATCAGCCTGATCTCTGCCATATCATTTCATACCCATGGGACCCTTAATTGTATAAGCCATCCCCAGCTTATGCTGCAATGATCCTTTGGCAGTTGGGCCAGCGTGTTAGCAAAGTACATAAGCAATAATATTTGAAGAATAAGCATTTAGGAGTTCCCAAATGTAGGAGTAACACCTATTTACCCATGAAAAGCTGCTCAGCAATATACTTGTTCAAATACTTTTCCAAAAGGTCAAAATAAATTGATCCACATCAATTTCTAGTTCCTTTATGAAGTCTAAATGTGTAGCTATGGAGTTTGAAGAACCCAGAATCTCATCTCAAACTCTTCAATGGGTTCTCCTTTAATTAAAAATTACTCAGTCCAAGATAGTAAGATACCATATATTGGATTTTTGTCAAAGAGAGACAGGAACATTTTTCCTCTGGGATCAAACTTGGTATGTCAAATTTTAGTCTAGAGGGAAACTGTACGATCACAGATTTAAGGAGAGGGTTTTTTTTTGTGATATTGAGAAATGATTCCTAATAAGAGAAACAATAAGCTCATGCAGAGCAGAAAAACTGAGACATATCCCTCTCCCAGTCCTTGACTTTAACTTCTAAATGGCTGGACAGGCAGATTAAACCGGTGGAATCTAATTCATTCAGACTAGCAACACGTAAACCTTTCTCAGATGAAATACTTAGCCTATATGCATAGGGGATTAGTTAAATAAAGCAGTCTACTTACTCAAGTTCATTAGACATGTTTCCCCAAGATTTCTCCAGATTTTCGCAGACAGTAAATTCGGATGACTTCTCTCCTCTAGTACCTGCTAAATACAGACATTGCCTGTGAAATGAAGTGTTTGATTTATGTTGAGGTTTTTGTGTACAGGTATTTTGCTGACAGGTAGGTTCCCCAGAGTTCAGCCCCTGATTGGTTGATGAGACAGGTGCCATGGGA